AAAAACAAAAAAAAATTAGAATGTGGGGGCTGGCCCTCTATCTCGAACTAACACGTCACTTTTATTGTTTGGTTCAAGCCAAGGAATTACCTAACAAAATGATGGCGGATAATATAAGGGCTGTGAAGCAAAGAAAGTGAGAGGTGATGTCAATTTATATCTTGAGCAAATAGCTAGGGCCACATTGAATAGAAGGGAAATTGTAAATATAACCTCACTCGGATCGTACTATTCTTATAATTAATGAACACAACATTGCCAGATTTCAAAAGCATTAATAATTGGTTCTGCTCGCAAGATAGCTCGTAAATGGGGACACCACACCCCTTCGGAGAGTCTTCTAGCCGGCAAGCTCTCCTAACATTAACATCTCCTGATGCCTTGCATGATTCGTAGGATCCCATTATCAGAAACAACGGCACCAGTAATTGTGCTGCTGAGCAACACATGCTTCTTACCTTCAAGCTTGGTCCCAATTATATATTTCATAGATCCAAAAGTTGCCTGCAGGATTTCTTCTGACGTAACTGCATAATTATATATTGAAGAGTGGACAATAAACTACATAAACTAAAGATCCACAACCATATATTCCTTATCTTCAAGCAGTTGCAGACTCGGGTCGACTGTCAATGATTTATCTGAATCATGCAGGTACGTCATGTGAGGAGATCAGGAATATTGGACGTTTAGTTGCATCAATTTTTAATTAGTTCCTATAACTCATGTTTCTTACCTTAGACTCAAGAGTAAGTAGCGATTACAATTCCGTAATGAAGTTTAAAGCCGAGTCCTCAGTTACATATTTCATCCGATCAAAAATTTGCCTGAAGGAATGCTTCTGACGATGGCACGAGTTTGGCAGCTTCGCAGTACTACACACAAAGGGCTGTACGCGGCATAATTATTGAAGATACTCAACCATTTATTTCTTATCATCATGACATTGGCATTTTTTCTGCCCGAATGGTCCTGATGCCAACACCTGAGCCCACTTCAATGATTTATCTGGATTGTGCAGGCATATTATGGGACGTAATCAGTAAAATTAGACCCTTATTCCTTGTACTTTGCACCAGTTTTTAATTTAGTCCCTATAACTTCAGAATTTGTAAAACGGCCCTCAGAATACAGCAAACTTCTTCTAAAAAAGGTTAAATGTTACTTTGTGTGTTTGACATAAGGGATTTGGTGGCTCCATAAAAATTTTTTAAAATGCATAAGCCAGTTCGTCCATGTTCGCACCATCCGTCGTATCATTTCATTCATTTGAGTCTGGTTTTTGGTCTTTGCTTCTCTATGCAAAAGGTTATTGACCGTGTGAAATACCTTTTGTACAAGTCTTCATTCGATGATATTGTTCCTTCAATGCCTTTGGATTCCATTAATGGATTTTACAAATTACACACACGTGTTTAAGTCAAGAACACCGCAGCTAAATTACAGAGTGTATAAGATAGAGAAGTTATGGCAACACTATAAGATAAATCTGAGAGAAGTATCCTCTCATTATTTAATTAATTTTTTTAATTCACGTTATAGGGAGTGTTAAGCAATGATATACCTAATGATTGCATAAAAAAATGATCTAACTAATGAAAAAGAAAATGAGCAATGCCCCCAAGGCTCTGTTCTACTACTATGAAAACAGAGGCTTAAGTGAATGCATGCGTAGTTAGAAACAGATCTACCATTCAACCAAAGTAATCGTGGTAGTGTGGACCTTGTCAGTATATTACTGTCTCATTTTCCCACATTGCCTTGCCAGGGACTTTTATATAAATTTTAGTTAACTTTAAGGAGTAAAAAGGTATTTGAATAGAAACAAAATTATGATTTGAAAAGTACTTTTATAATATATGAAATAAACATATGGAGTAATTTATCTCGATCTATAAAAAAATATTTTTGAAAAGTACTTTTAGGTTACTAAACACCCCTAAATTTGATAAGTCTTAAAGAATTTTGAAACTACAAAGACTAAATTAAAAACAAAAACAAAACAAAAATCTAAATTAACTCATTTAGCTACTGGGAGAAAGCCAGAGGGTGGAGATGATGAGAACTTCAACAGTAAACCCCTTCTTCATCATTTGCTTGTTGCTAATAGGTGGGTTCTCAGAATCTGTAGGAAGCTGAAGTAGCTATCCAGAACCTGAAGCAAAATGTGGAAAACTTGCTGTTCGATTTGCTTTCCGGATAACAGGACGCCAACCTGAAGAGTGTGGTTATCCTGGGTTTGGTTTACAATGTTCCTTGACCAATTTTGCTATCCTTGAGCTACCTCCTTCAATCAAACTCAATGTCACACACATTGATTACACTTGCCAAATTGTTCAGCTCTATGATCCTCATGGCTGCCTCTCTCTGCATCTCCCTAACCTCACTCTTCTTCCTCCTTCCCCTTTCCAGCTCAAAGCCAGGTCGTTTCTTGAGGATGATGACGACAACTTCACCGTCTTCAATTGCTCGCAGCCGAAAAGCTCCGAGGATGTGAAATTAATCTCAACTTGCCAGCGCAGATCTACCCATCACGTATATGCCATTTCATGAAGTACATACATCAGACGATTTCCGTTTTTGTCTTGCACCAACGTATTTAACATTTCATCCGTCCCAGGAGAGATTTTTAGAGATGATTACAGTCTTCATCTGAAGTGGTCTAATCCTATGCGTAAACATTGCGAATCAACGGGAAGAAGGTGCGGCTTCAAGAATAGCAGCATTAGTAATGAAACTGCATGCTTTGACACAGGTATGATCTGGTCTGCTTTCTGAACAAATCTAAATGATAGACCATACCATGGATTCATTCATATAACTGTCGCTTCCAATGGATATACAAATTCACATGAACATGGAAAGCATCAAAATTCTTATTAAGATGAGTCATGCGGAGCGGGGTGTAAGCTACCCCTTGGTGATGCCCCCGGCTTCCTTTTAATTTTGGGCTCTTCCCAAATTTTTGTTTGTTGTTCTTTTTATTATTAAATTCTATACAAAATGAGTGATATTGGACATCTTATTTATAAAAAATGGTTTAGTTTTCAAATTTTTATGATTTTTTTAAAGATGTAGCACTCTAAATTAAAAAGAAATTGAACCATTTTCTACAAATAAAATATCAAACTATGTAGAATTTAATGGTAAAAAAATAGAAATTTTTTTTTTTGGAAGAGCCCAAAAAATACTCGTGTGGTAGAGTCGGATCACCCTTCCTTGCCTGGCTATTCTTTAACAGACTTAAACTTCAGCTATTGGGACGATCCATATAGCCCCACCATTATTCCATCCGTTTTCGATGGTGTTTATGTGGAACTTGAATCGAATCAACTGACAAAGAGTATGATATTCGTAAGGTGCAGAAACCAGTGCATTCCCCCGTGTTGGTGGACACAGCCCCTTGCTTCAAAACTTCAAATGGCTCTGTAGCTTCTTCTTCTTTGTATTCACATGTGAATGTTGGCAGCAAAACTCTCGGTGACTTGGGGCTAGACGATGATTTTGGTATAGAACTGATATACATGACGTCCTGCGCCTGCTCCGAAGAACAACCAGACTTGGTCCTGCACAGACACCCACAATATGCTTCTTTATGGCTTTGAACTTTTTGGGTGGAAAGGAATATCAAACTTCAACGAAATCAAGCATCTACGCTGTTTAGTAGGCAAGTCCTTAAACTCTAACTGTAGCTTCATTACTCTTGCATTTTCCTTACTTAAATCAGGCAAATTCTCCGATTCTGGAATTGGGTTCAAATGAGTCTGTCCGACTCTATCATTTTTATACGCGCACACACACACACACACACACACACACAGAGAGAGAGGCTTTACAAACTTAATCCACATCCCTTGCTATCATTTTTCTTTGTCCACATATCTTCACTCTTGTCCTGTTCATACCTTCCAGGCTGAAAAGAATTTGCTATAAGTGTCCCTTAGAATCGAAGCCCACGTAAACATTAATCTGATTCCTTTACATGTATAATCAAGAGTGAACTTGCCCATTTGAGTTTTGAATAGTGTTGGGATCGAGTCTTTTGAAAATGGGTTTGCATCATAATAACTTAATCAAGAACTGATAAAGTCCATCATTGGTAAAACATTTCACCCTATATGCAAATTATTTATAATTAGGAGAAATCCCCCATATTATTTATTACTAGCATAGTTGTTTTATTATCAGAGGACTTCGTAGCTCGCTACGTATTTGTGTACCCTCTGGTAGGAGGTAAGGAACTTGTAACATTTTTAGTACGACACATTTTTTAATTTTGTAAAAGTATATATTCATCTAATAGCATTCTTCAAAATAAAATATTTAAATTAGAGTGTCAGATGAACTTTTTACTGTTTAAATTTTTTTTTTAAAAAGATTTTATGACCTAAAATTTTTGTTTTTATGTATGTCGTAAAAATATTTCTATGGCTAAATTTGTCTTCAAGCAAATGTTAAAATTTTTAAGATTCTTGACATTCATAGCTTTAATTGAAAATCTTATTAAACTGTGCACTTTAAATAACAAGTTGTATTTTGTCAAATTTTGTTATCCTAAATTTAAATAATAGAGAAATATAATAATATATAAGTACTTGAGTGAATGTGCAAAGCTGACCAATATCATGTTAATTTATTTTGCAGGTTCATCAAACAAGTTTTTAACCGGAGGTTAGCTTTCAAATTGAGCTTGGAATTTTCCAATGGAAGTATAGTTTTTTCTATTAAATTTGAGTTTTTATATATGCAGGAGTCATTGTGGGCTCATTTCTTCTAGCAGCCATTATTGTTGCAGTTCATTACATCATCGATTCTTACAAATCATAGAAAGAAAGCCAGGAAATACTTGACAAGTTTTTGAAAGATTATAAAGCACTGGAGCCCACCAGGTATTTTTATGCTGAAATTAAGAGAATTACCAATCAATTTAAAGAAAAGTTAGGAGAAGGATCTTTGGTGCTGTGTTCAAAGGAAAAATTTCATCCCAGTTCCAAGTTGCAATGAAAATTCTTTCTGATTCTGAAATAGGAAATGGTGAAGACTTCATCAGGGAAGTTGGAACTATGGCCAAAATCCATCATGTCAACATTATTCGCTTAGTCGGCTTCTGTGCTGATGGCTTTAGAAGAGCGCTTGTTTATGAGTACTTACCAAATGATTCATTACAAAATTTCATAAATTCACTTGGCCAAAGGAAAAACTTTCCTGGTTGGAAAAAGTTACAGGAAATTGGTTTAGGCATAGCCAAAGGAATTGAGTATCTTCATCATGGTTGTGAGAAGCGCATGCTTCATTTTGACATAAAACCTCAAAATGTTTTATTAGATAGTGATTTCACTCCAAAAATATCTGATTTTGGGCTAGCCAAATTATGTTCTAAAAATCAAAGTATAGTGTCAATAACTAATGCCAGAGGTACTTTTGGTCATATAGCTCCTAAAGTATTCTCTCAAAACTTTGGAAATGTGTCTCACAAAGCGAATGTTTATAGTTTTGGGATGCTTCTACTTGAAGTGATAGCGGGGAGAATGATCACCAATGATGCAGAAGAAAATGCAGCCCACATCTAATATCCTAAATCGATCTATAATATTTTAGAAGGAAGGGAAGATACAAGAATTCATATTGAGGAAGAAGAGGATGCTATAATTGCCACACAAAAAAATAGGAGTAGTGGGACTGTGGTGCATGCAATGGCATGCCATGGATCGACCATCAATGCGGGTGTTGGTTCAAATGTTGGAAGGACAAGGAGACAAATTACCAATACCTCCTAATCCTTTTGACGTTGAAGGTCCTTCAACAAGTACAAGAGCCAACGAGCCTGCTAGACGTGTGATGCAAGGTTTAGAAATAATCCATGAAGCAGAGTGAGAGTTAATAAATGTCAAATATTAATATTGGTTTTCCTTCTGATCAATGAGCATGGTTCTGTCATTGTTTAATTTTGTAGTTTTAAGTCTTCAGTCACTCCAGTATATATAGAAAATGCAATATGTAAATATATGGAAGCCTTTTTAATTATTTATATGATCAATGTTTATTTTCTTTTTGAGATGGAGATGCCAATATGCTAGGAACTCTTTGGTATCGACTTAAGGATCTTTGGATCGTGTTGCTTTTCTCTCTATCTCTTTCTAAGTTTTGTGGTTCGTAATATTATGAAAATTGGCATTTACCAGTCAAATTCCTAAGAGAGCCCTCAATTCTGGACTATTTTTTCCCTCTCCAGTTAAGAATATGTAAAGTGCTATGAAGAATATATTACATCTGAATCCTGATGTTTTGGTTTCAAATGCAGACCAAATGTATCTATAGGCTGTATATAGTTTCATGACAAGGTGTAGTTCAGCATTGATACTTGGGAGAGACTCTTAGCGACATTTTATTTGCAAAACTAAGTAGAATAGACTTGAAGTGCATGTTAGGATAATTATATGAGTATTTATTATTAGTTTAAATCTATTTAATATAGAATGGATGCTTCCAAACAATTTTGTATAATTCATTTAGGAATGCTTTACAAGAGAATTTGACCCACTGGCAATATTTTTTGATCATTTTTGCTTCATATAAAAACAGCAAGTGTTATCTAAAGAGACATAAATCCTGCCAATGCCAAACAACCGAGAACAACAAAATAATTATATAGAAAGCTTCTACCATGAGTCATTAATGATCCATGTTACTAAGATCTTAATTCATTCTACACTATCTAATGGAAAAGGAAACTCAACTCGAAGGCCTAACACAGAAACAAACCATGCTGACTTGTTTGGCCAAAAGAGTAAAATTGTACTGATTTAACAAAAGGAAATATTCTGATTCACAATTAAGAACCTTGCAGAAATGTTTGGAGAACTATAAACAATGCTATGATGATCTTCCATCTTCTTGAGCTGAAAATGAAGTTTCTCTATAATTACTTACTTATTGATCAGAGGATGACACTATCGAACTTGAATGGTTACTAACATCAACATTGGGTATATCTTGTGGATAAAAATAAGGCTTTTGAGGCATTTCTAAGTCATTCTCCTCCCCCTCAAGCATCTCTGCAACTTTGTTAATTGAAGGACGATCATTTGGCTTAGTTTGGATGCACCAGAGTCCCACAATCATCATTTTCCTTGCCAACTTCATTTCTTCTTCTATTGCGTTTTCCATGTTAATCTCATTTCCTTCATTTAATTGATCATAAACCTAGAAGGGGAAGTAAAAATGACTTGACTGTGCAGCAGACACATTTAGATCCTTTCTTCTACCAGCAATGTCCATTGATAACTTCCCAAAACCATACACATTGGCTTTGTTAGAGACTCCACCCAAGTTTCTATAGAAAAGTTCAGGGGCCATGTATCCTATTATTCCTCTTATAGCTGTGAGTGACACAATGCTATCACTAGTAGGATAGAGTTTAGCAAGGCCAAAATCAGAAACCTTAGGGATGAAGTTGTCATCAAGAAGGATGTTGTGTGGCTTTATATCAAAATGCAGAATTTGCATGTTGCAACCTTTGTGAAGATATTCAACACCATGAGCTACTCCAACAGAAATGGCATACAACTGATGAAAATCCAAGGATTGCTCATTGTCATGTTTAGAGAAAATGTATTTGTCGAGAGATCCATTTTGCATGAACTTATACATAAGAGCATGTTTTGATCCTTCCACACATATTCTAACACACATCCCTACTAATACATTTGTTTGTCTAATGTAGCAGCAGAAAGAAATACCATTCTTCAAAAGATCCTTCAGCTTAGCCGGGGCAAGACATCTCATGATAACTTCTAACTTTTTGGTAGCCTGCATGGCATGTGCTTGCTGGTTGCACTGTTTCAAAGAATCTCAGAAAGAAAGAGTCATAAATTAATTTCCACTGCTTATATATAAAATTTTTATGATTTTACTTCAAAAAATTTGTCCTACACCAACCTTTTCCCCCTTCATAAATTTTTTATGAGCTATTCATTTAATTATTATAACCTTTACTGAACCCTAGTGTATTTTTATTTTATTTTTCCTAAATCTCTAATAAACACTAAACTAATCAACAAATAACTTTTTGAGTTAATAAGATGTTAAAATTTAACATCATTAAGGTTTTGGTTTCTAATTTAAAATAAGTGGTTTTGATACTTGAAATTTGATTTCATTTTGATTTGCTTAAAGATTTTTGGTTCTTGGAACAATGTTTTAGGAAATAAAATCATTGGTTTCAAATTTCAAAAACTAAAACAAAAATAAGGTCAAATTTGAAGAACTAAGAATAATATTAACCCTTTAAGTTCATACAAATATCATCAATTATTATACTATTCTACTCATAATTATAAAGCATAATATCTTATTAATCATATGCCACTTAATTTTAGGCCACATATAGATAAACCCCTACTTATATTATATTCTTTCACTGAAGGGACACCAATTAACAATAGAAATGTTTTTTGTTTTAATATAAATGTAGAAATTTAAGAGGATTCATCACTGCAGTTTAAAAATGAGAGATGCTATGTGCACATAACCTAAAATTTACGAGGCTATATCCGATTTGGCCTTGTAGTTTTAGGAGATTTCAGGCAGTTGAGTTTCTATCTTAATATATATGAAGGAATGCTGCCCATTTAAACTAATATTATTTCTAAATCTTGGACAGAGAAAATTCAGATATTTTTGTTGAATTAATTGGGGTTAATATCATCTTTAGCTCATGAAATTTGGTCTTATTTTGTTTTTTGTCCTTGAAATTTAAAACGAGTGATTTTGGTCCCTGAAACCTTATTTCAAAAATCAAAAACATTGTTTCAAAGACAAAAAATCTTTAGATAGATTAAAATAAAGTCAAATTTCGGGAATAAAAACTATTGATTTTAAATTTTAGAGGCTAAAATCAAAACGAGATCATATCTAAGGAACTAAAAATGATATTAACCTAATTAATTGTATTCACTTTAAATGAACAAGTAAGTGAAAAAAAATATTTAGATAATATATTCTGAAGTTATACATTTCTTATAAAATGCCTCCGGTTCTGAATATAATTTGCACTGCAAAATAAATATTATATCTAGAACGTATGAAAAGTTCTTGGGAAAAGATTGTACCTCCCGCTTAAGATTGACTCTCACTATTTTGCTTCATTATTCCAAGTGGCAATGAGTGTGAAGCTCCGTTAGAGGTGTTTGTTCTGGTCCTTCTCAGCTCAACTAGATTAATCGGAATTTAATGTGGCTTTGAGGTATCGTGTGGTTAGGATGAGACAAATAATTACCTCCAATAATTAAGATTTAACAAAATTATTCAACAAATATATCTATAAATAATAAAGTAATATTGCTTATTTTGCAGTTATACATTATAAATGTAGTTTGTACTTCCTCCTTAGGGTTAAGGTATAAATGTGTTTTGAAAGTTTTCATTCAGGAATAATATTGTCCCATAAGTTTTTCGCGTTCAAAGTTTCCCTATAAGTATTAAAATGAAGCAATATTGTTTCTTATCATTAAAAATGTTAATGGTAAATATTAATACTTTAATAGTCAATATTAGTTTTAAAAACTTTCGGGGCGAAATTTATACATAAGCCCTTCTCCTAATAGGTTAATATTATGCCAATGCACAAGCTATTTTCACAATAATCATGGTACTTTCTCGCAAGAGCAACCTATATCACTTTTTGTTTTCTCTGTTTTGCAGACATTTGGTCATACATCTACTATCTGATAATGTTAGGTATCCCTTGACTTTAACAAACTTATCTAATTTTTAAGAGTACAAGAGTAGACAGTGCAATGATTGGCCAAACAATAGAAATTCCAACGTATACTGGTTTCCGTTAAAAGGCACGTTCTTATTAATTACCTATGATCTCTCTTGAATTTTCATCAACAGCTATTTGTCTCGGGAGCTTCATTTCTACTGCTTGTATATAAATTTTTATGAACTTGCTGTCAAAAATTTGTCCTGCAGTCTTTTTCCCGTTTACAAATGCTTTTTTACTAGCTATTCATTCAATTACTATAATCTTAATATGATGAGATTGTACATTTATTTTATTTTTCTGATACGATGTATAAGTAATTGTGCATATATAGGTTGTGAAGTAATAGCTAGTGCCAAAAACCTACCACCATACTGATATAACGACATCCTATTCAATGTGGCACTAAGTATTTTCACATCTACCACAGTACTTTCTCATAAGAGAAACTGATATCAATTTTTGTCTCCTGTGTTTTGCAGACAAATGGTTGTGGACGCACACTCTATCAGTGTTAGGTATCCCTTGACTTAAACAAACTAATCCAAATTTTAAGAGTACAAGAGTAGACAGTTCAATGGGTGACCAAACAATAGAAATTCAATACTAGTTGCAGTTAAAGGGCACATTCTAATTATTTATCTTCTATTTTAAATTTTCATTGCCAGCTCTTTATACGGGGGCCAAATTTGTGTTGGGGGCTCCATTTTTCCTTGCCCTTCTGATCTATAAATGGCGACAAAGGCATTTATCTATGTATGAAAGCATTGAAGATTTTCTGCAAAGCGACAACAACATCATCCCCATAAGGTACTCCTATAGAAAAATCAAGAAGATGACAAAAGGGTTTAAAGTAAGACTTGGAAAAGGAGGCTATGGCTCTGTGTTCAAAGGACAACTTCGAAGTGGTCGTGATGTGGCTGTCAAAATGTTGGATAAGGCTAAAGCCAATGGTCAGGAGTTCATCAACGAAGTTGCTACACTTGGTAGAATCCACCATGTTAATGTGGTGCAACTTGTCGGTTACTGTGTGGAGGGATCAAAGCGTGCTCTTGTATACGAGTTCATGCAAAATGGGTCTCTTGACAAATACATTCTTTCTAAACCTAATGACAATGAGAAATCCTTGAATCTTCATCAATTGTATGCCATTTCTCTAGGAGTAGCTCCTGGTATTGAATATCTTCACAAGGGGTGTGATATGCAAATTCTACATTTTGATATAAAGTGCCTGTTTGGCATCACTTATTTTGAGCTTATAAGTAGCTTATAAGCTCTATAAGCCCGATCGACATAATAGGTCTGTTTGATTGGGCTTTTTTGCAATCGGGCTTTTGTCTTAAAAGCTATAATAAGCTATAAGCTAAAATTAATAGCTTATGACTTGTAGCTTTTAAAATATGGAGAGAGAGAAAGTTAAGAAATTTATTATCTCCTTTGGTTTTTATTATAAGCCTCAAATAACTAATTTGTCGATAATAAAAAATTAGTTAAAATTAATTGAAAGTAATAAATAAGTTAGAAATATACTTTTATTTTTAAATATACTCCTAAAAATATATTTTTATTTTTTCATGTTTTATTTTATATTTAAAATATTTTTTATGACTTCTTCATATTAAATTATTTTAATTTCATTATATTATGTGAAATTATTTTTTTAATCATGTTTTATTATTTACTAAAACTCATATCTATTTTGTTCATTTTACAACCAAACTTATTTTTGCTCAATCATTATCCAAACAATCTTTTATCAATCTCACTTTTGCAAATAAGCTGCTTTTCTAAACTCTAATCCAAACACAATTCAGCTTATTCAATTTAGCTTTTACTCAACTTCACTTCTCCATAAGCTACTTTTTCAATAAACTGCTTTTTCAATCGCTCATCCAAACGGACCCAAAGCCGCACAACATTCTTCTTGATGACAATTTCATCCCAAAGGTTTCTGATTTTGGCCTTGCTAAACTTTACCCAACAAATGATAGCATTGTGTCTCTTACAGCGGCAAGGGGAACTATAGGATACATGGCTCCTGAGCTCTTCTACAAAAATGTACGTGGGGTCTCCTATAACGCTGATGTGTATAGCTTTGGGATGTTATTAATGGAGATGGCTGGTAGAAGGAAGAATCTGAATGTGTTGGCTGAGGAATCGAGTCAATTTTATTTTCCTTTTTGGGCTTATGATCAGTTAAATGAAGGGAATGAAATTAGCATAGCAGATGCAACAGAGGAAGAAATGAAAGTGGCAAGGAAAATGCTGATCGTTGGGTTGTGGTGCATTCAAACCAAGCCTAGTGATCGTCCTTCAATGAACAGAGTTGTGGAGATGCTTGAAGGAGATGAGCACGATTTAGAATTGCCTCAAAAGCCTTATCTATATCCAGAAGAGTTACCAGCAAGGGATGACAATGCAAATTCAATACGGCGATCCAACTCATCAAGCAATCATCCTTCGATGGAAAAGGCTCTTGAAGCAGAGGAGCAAGAGTCAGTATTGCCTCAGCAGTCTTTTCTATATGCACAAGATTCACCAACAATTGATGTTAGTGCTCATTTACGTTCAACGCCTAAATCCTCTGATCCTTCAGTGAATAATCCTAAAGAGACAACCTCATTTTTAGCTAAAGATGATGAGAGATCAATATAGTATTGTACATGAGTACTAATGACCTTGATATATATATTTTTATTACGAGATACTCTTAAATATGAATAAGAAGTGGGGGTTGTATCGACCTGAGAAATGGATGCATGTTGGGCTTCCATTTCTCATATCATGTGATACAGTAAGGAAGAAGCATTATGTCTTTCTGGATAGCTATGTTTTTGAGGAAATTGATAAAAATGTTTTACCTACTGCCTTGGTCCTAGGACTACATTTATCAGAAGAGGCATGCTCGAATAGGGGACACATATTTAATGATCCAAAGTATGTGAAAGCTTTTCATATAATGGTATGTATTTTGCCCTCTCAGTTATTTGGTAGTGTCAGGATCCGTCTTTCCTGGCAGATAACACATGCACTTTTTATAAAGAAGCAAAAGGATATGAACCACAAGCTTCCATTGATACAGAATGATAGTTGAACTATATATAGCATAACTTTGGATGCACTTAAGTAATACTTTTCCTAGTTCTTTATTTTTATTTGGCAATTTTAGAATCTTCTCTTCGCGTCAATATGAATTCTAACCTCTTGTCTAGCTTTCTCCTCTCGTGATCTTTGCCCCTGCAAACCTCCTAAATGGCTAGTACGTGTAGCAGCATCATGCCAAGACTAACATCTTATTATATGTTCAGAATTTTCTCTGAAGAATTTTGATGTAATGGGACTTTTTGTCCCTTCGACGGTTGCTAATAACATTGTACTTTTGTCCATCTGATGAGACAATGTTTTCACAATCGGACAGTTCAAGATTTAATAGTTGAAAGATAAAGTTTTAATTAAACTGATATAATTTCAAGAATATGTATAAAAACAAAGATATCTTAGATACTACTCCAGTCCTTAATATAACACCTATTTAACTAATTTGATTAGATTAAGGAAGTTAGGTAAGTTAATTAATTATAAGAAAAGTAACACATTTTTCCTAAAGCACCATAATTATCTTTATTAATACTCCCTCACCTTTTTCTACTTGATTATGATTGAGGGAGTATCCATAGGGGTAATTTAGAGAAAATTAATAAATATGAGAAATAGGTTTTACATTTAGGACCAAAACTAATTCAAGAATTGGGTTCTATATTAAGAACCAGATGAATATTATTTATTAATATTCTTACTATACATGACAAATTTATGGTCAATCATGTCAACATGAAAATAATAATATTTATTGTCAATTAGAAATCACCATAAAAATCATCATATATAACCAGTTAATTATCCGATCAAATCGGCACATGCCTTGAGTCCAAAAAAAAAAAAATCGGCACATGCCTTCATGATAAACTAAAACCACCAATGAATCATCATCAAATATACACTTAAAAAAACTAACCCAAAGACAAATAAAAGCCAAAAAGTAACATAACTTGTGTAATTAAAAATAAAAAATAAAAAATAATTTTGACTAATTTGTCACAAATTCACTTTTAGCCGGCTTTTAATTGTTCTGAATCATATACACACACAAACACACTACTTTAGTTCTTAATATAAGATTCAATTAACTAATTTGAGAATATCAAAAAAGTTACTAAATTACTTTAAAATATTTATATTTATCGTGTTTTTCAAAATTAATTTTTCTCAATTTTCAGTCATTTTCTTAATACACATAAGTATTTCATAAAGATTATGTAACTACTACAATTAAGTTATTCAGTCATTTTCTTAATTTTTTCAAGTTAGTCAATTGAGGCTTATACTAACTAGCGAAGGCAATATTTATATTTATATATATAACTCGTTTGTTATTCAATTTGATTATGGCAACATTAGTTTGAGAGATAATTTGCATTGATTATATACTACTCTTCCTGTCCTAAATGTAAGACTTATTTTGTAGTACACTACAAAATGAGTCTTATATTTTTGAATGAGTGGAATAATATTTTTGGCGTGGAATGGTGGATGACCAAAATAACGTTGGAAGTAAAAAATGACCATTCACAATCCATACTTATCTTGATGAAAATATTATACTTGTTGAGCAATGAGTGAAGCCCTTTCTTGAGGATTTTTCTATCTGAACATGTGTTTAATTACCATACGATGAAGTCATGAAATGCTGCATATATCTATTAAAGGGATTGGTGAAAGTGTCCTCTATTTTTGTATGCGCAATTACTGTCTTTTTTGAGACAGTTGGCTAATAGATTCTGTATATTAAAAAGGGAAAATTGCAAAAAAAAATTATGAAGATTGAAAAATTACAAAGTATTTTGTCAAAGTATAAAAACCTATACAAATCTTATAGTGAGTCCTAATTTACGATTTTATAATTTTTATGATTTTTTTGTAATTTTTTATATTGAAAAAGTAAGATATAAGTGGCCTAATATAACACAAAATTATGTAGCATGGGTAAATGATTTTTTTTTTAATTATGTATAGGTATCCTTTTATTAGAAAATTTGTATAGTTGATCAAACAAATAGGTCACGTTTCTTGCTCTTATTGTTTGGCAAGCCCAATTCCCATGTGGCGGCTTGTTTCCCGCTTCATAGCAGATGACTTGTATTGAATAGTTTTGTCATGGTTTGCATTGCTTTTACTTCCCCCAAGCCCATTATACCTAAATAGATTGAGTGGGAATGAACCAAAGGTCCGAATCACTAGGTCCTTTTCTTTAAAGACGTGAAAATCATATACTGTCTAGCCAGGCAACAAAAACTCTTCTTGCTAATAAGAATTTAGTTTAGAACAACACTTATGTAAGTTTATCATATTTATTATATCAAATTTTTCAATCATATATGACTATCTGTCTTATTTTTAAAATATTAGCATTTAAGAAATTTTAATTATGAATTCACATGAAACAAAAAAGAATACATGACCATGTATGATAGAAGAAATTGACATATCAAATACAAAAAACTTGATCAAAGTTCTTTATATTTGATTTAATATTACATTCGATCATTATTGAACTACAAATTAAATCTTATACTTATCCTGTCCTTAATATATGAATCTAATTAATTAATTTGAGTAAATTAAGGATACTAGTTAAATTAGTTGGTGTGATTTTTTTTAAAACAACTTAAGCATCTTTCTTAATTTCCTTCCTTCCTCTCCTACTTAATAATTATTAGAAAAATATTAATAAGGTTAATTTAAGAAAGAATTGATAAGTATATTAAATATATCTTATGTATAGAATCAATATCAACTCTCTAATTAAGTTGTAGATTAAGTAATGGAAGAGTACAAAAGATAGGAGGTGGTAACTCACAAAGTCATGGATGCATTTTCATGTAAGAATCAGACTTGGTTGATAAATAATCTATAAAAATTTCTATAAGTGCTTTATAAGCCCAAAAACATGCCTTGACATTATTGAAACGTCGAAATCCTACTTGTCTAAACTTTTGTTTATAAAAAAATTTTATACTCTTATGATATTTGATGTATGAACTAATTATTGAGTTGAGCTTGGCTCTAATAAGATCTATTTTTCATATTTATATATTTTTTTAAAATTATCCTATTGATAACCTCTCAACCATAATATAATCAAGCAAAAGAAGGAGAGAGGATATTAAGAAAGATGATTATGACATTTTAAGAAAAACATGCAATATTTTTTATAATTAACTTACCTAACTACCTTTCTTAATCTAATTAAATTAGTTAAATAAATCTTATATTAAAAACTGCGAGGACGTGCTTGGACATATCAAGACCAATTCTAAACGTGCCTGTATCTATTTCAATTATGAAATTTTATTCTCCAAAAATTATATTCAAACTTATTACTTATTTTTTTTACCAGAAAAACTTATTATTTATTTGGACCATTGAATATGTAGTTCAAATATAAATTTGGAATCGAATCATTCTACTTTGAGATTGGTAGCTTCAATTATGACACCTTTTTTCCGCCCTAAACTAATACAGTCAAATTGATGTGGTAGCTTCAATTCTGCAGTAGAGTTTCAGGGCTTGATTTTCCGTTTGAGAAAAGAAATCATTGATAAGAATAAAACATTTTTATGAGTGCTTAGTGTTCAAATCACGAACTAATTAAATATGTACAACTACATGACTTCTTCATTTACTTATTTATTGAAAAAGCAATATTGATTCTGATGAGTCATTTATAGAATTCGCGCCATAAAAATGGGTTGAAAATTATTCAAGTTGGATAGACAAGCTTTTCATTCATAAATACATTTTTGTGGGAAAGACATGTCAAAGTCTAAAATATTTAATGCTAGACAAGTGGTTGGGTGAGGGGTCTGCTTTCATACTCACAAACTTCCACCCTTGCAGGCACGTTATTGAATTTCTGAGTGTGTCTCAGTTTCCTGAATATTGATTCTGATAAGTCATTTATAGAATTTGCGCCATAAAAATGGGTTGAAAATTATTCAAGTTGGATAGACAAGCTTTTCATTCATAAATACATTTTTGTGGAAAAGACATGTCAAAGTCTAAAATATTTAATGCGAGATAAGTGGTTGGGCGAGGGGTCTGCTTTCATACTCACAAATTTCCACCCTTGCAGGCACGTTATTGAATTTTTCTGAGTGTGTCTCAGTTTCCTGGAAACTCATCAAAGTCTGAAGTAAACTTTTTTCATTTGTAATATGCCTCTGGTCATAGCTAGACTAAGCCTCTATTGGTCCGATGAAGAAATCAAGGCCTACTGAGGGTTTCTTGATGACTTAATTTTCCATCCATACACGCTTAGCCTTTGGCTTTAGTCATAGCTGTAAATAGTGATGACCAAGTTAAAAATAATTGATATCGGCGGAACCATGGAAGGAAGATAAGGATGTTCCTTTGGTTGACCACGTGTAAGCCGTAGCAACCGCATCTTCGAAATTCGTATCTAATCTCATTGTCTTGGAAACTTTCTCGGAAGCTTCAATTATTCTTCATTCAGTTTTATTTGGCTCTTCAATATTGATGAACAATTTATATATTTTTGTAAAAACACATCCTGAGTCTTTTGATTTGCCTCAGACTCACCATTCTCAAAATCTAACTCACCTAAACGTTTTCTTCCTTTTCCCCGTAAATGAAAAAAATTTTAGTCCTTAATATAAGAGCTAATTGAGAGTTGAATTTGATCCCACATATAAGAATTCAATTCACTTAGTCTCTTATCTTTTTCCAAAATATCTCTATTGATTATAAAGGCTCTCACTAAGGAATAATTCCAATCATCCAATAC